TTTTCTTTTCAGTCCCCTTTTGGACGTCGAGACCACCACTTTACAAGTGTCGTTTTCAAAATAGTAAAAAACATTCTAAAACATTTCATCTTGTTTTCGCTTGAAACTGTAAAAAAAATAGCCATATGGTTGCATCAAACTCCACCGATTTGGATGAAGCACCTCTAGTTTAACGAGGAACAAATTTATAGGGTTTCCTCCTTAAATATTAGTACTATATACTATATGTTGTCACTGTTGAAGATTTTAGTTCCTTCGCAGTTACAGAAGTATCGCAATTTGGCATAAGCTTATGCAAATATGATCAGTTCAGCTACAGTTTCTGAACTGGTGACTATTATCGCCACGTCTTGGTAAATAATAAATATGATAGCACCTGTTACCTTTTTGGTTACTTTTTTTTTGCAGGTTACCTTGGTTACTTGTCAGAATGATTATTCTAATTCATCAAGTTACCACTTCCCCTTCAGCTGGACTTTGAAGGAATTATGTGGAGTCCAATTTGCCAGATCTTCAACTAGTACTTTACTGCTTATTTTTTGGGGGAAAAAAGTACGAAGAACCCAGCACAATTCCGCTAGCGAGCGTAGCTATCTTAACTATATCCTCCCAGCAAGAACAGAAGCTATGGAGGTGGTCCAAAATCCTGGATAATCTAAGTACTGTTCTTGAAAGATATCTCTGATGATGCACAACATGTGAGAAACAGGCATACGTGTTATTAGAATAGTCATTTACCTGAATATTTTAATGCTAATTCCACTGTTTAGTACAGTTAAACCCCCTGTGTACTTTATGCTGACCCTACCAAACCGAGTGCGGAGCAAAAATTAACAAACAAATTATTACAAACAGAATCGTAATTCAGTTCTCGATCATAAGTAGGACCGATTTAACATAAGTTAGGGGTATCATGAAAAGTTGCAAAATAGGCATATCTTGGGTAATCTCCACCATCCATTCTTGTTGGTCCAACGTCCACTTCATCTCTACCGTGTAAATTTTTTTATGAGCATTTTTTTTGCAGATGGTTTTTATGAGCAGTTTTAACATGGCCCCTCTTACCTCACAAGAGTTAAGAGCACACAAAAGATATGAGCTGTTGATTTTATTAAATAGTAGGCCCAAGTAATTAACATGTGCAAATATATTTCAGTCCATATGTAGTTCACACTTAAGTATGTTTGTTAATATATATACTAGGATAATGACCGTGCGTTGTAACGGGGTATAAATATTTAAGTATGTTATCTCATGATTTACTTGCCCATATTATTGCAATTGTATAAATAAATGTTTATCAAATAATGCATGTGATTTACCTGCTCATATCAATGCGATTGCGTTAATATATTTTTTATCAAATAATGCTCATATTAACGTGATGCAGTTTGGTAAGTAAATTAATGTGATTGTGCAGCGTACCGTGAAGATACAGTCATATTTGATGTGGTGGCAAAAGACCGGCTGAATGAAAAAAATCAGTGAAGGGATGTGGTGGGAGGGGGGAACCGGTTGACGAGCAGTTGTGCCTAGTAGGAAAACAAACGCTGCTTATTTTTAAGTAGTACTCCCTCCATCCCTTTTTATAAGGTGCATTTGCTTTTTTTTATAAAATTTCAGTGTAGGGTGCATTTTTTTTCTAATTCCTCGTAATTATGTCTTTAGCCCTAAAGAAATAGAAAAGTATCTCTCCCCCAATTGTGTGTGTGTCTCATTGTAGAGAAAAAATATCTCTCTTCTAGTTACGTGTATCTCTTCCTTTTCAAGCCTAAATGATTTGCTTGGAGCTAATCAACAATTTAGCCAAGGTTAATTTCATTCTAAATTATGAATAATTATGTGCCTTGGTCATCGTACAGAAAATAATACGGCTT